TTACTTTGGACTATGAAAGAAGAGTAAGCATAAAGAAAGAAATGCTATATATATCCCAGAAGTGCTATTATGTGCTAATATACAGCATCTTATATAGAGCTCAGTAGGCATGAAGAAAGGCCCTCACAGCAGAAACGCAAAATCTCATTGCTGATCATTTTCACGAATAAGAGATGGGGATAAGAATAGCCTAATTCCTATCGTTTCCTATCAAATCAAAGACAGTCTTCACGCTGAGCATAGTAATATTGTTTATACAATAAATAATGTTACTACTCTTTACCTAAAAAGCAAAGAAATATGATGCATGATCCCAAGATAATGGCAAAGACAGTGATAATGACAGTAAGAGTTAAGTTTACTTGCTGCTAGTAAGTTACTCATATATATGGGAAAGTATACAAGATGCAGCAAACAAAATTCCAACTGGGCCTAAGGAAAAAAATCCACAATGAGGATTGTCAAGGGTTGAGACAGGTTGCCCAGAGAGGCTGTAGAACTGCCATCCTTGGATATAGTAAGACTTTATTTGGATAAAGCCCTGAGCAATCTGATTTAACTTTAACATTAGACCTGCTTTGAGCAGGGGCATTGGACCAGATGGTGTCCAAAGGTCCCTCCAACCCAGTTAGTGCATGGTTCTATTCTAGATACTGTTCTAGTGGATAGGGAATTTAACACTGGAAATAAAAGATCCAAAAGTGGTTATATTTGGTCTATTTTTCATACCTGAGTAAATATGCAGTAATTTCAAGTAAGTTGCCAGCAGTTTGAGGGAGGTGATCTTCTCTGTTTAGCACTGATGAGGCGACATCTGGAGCGCTGTGTCCAGTTCTGGGCTTCTCAGTACAAGAAGGACATGACGCCAGCCCAGCACAGGGCCACAAAGATGATTAAGGGACTGGAGCATCGTTCCTATGAGGAGAGGCTGAGAGTGCAGGGGCTGCTCAGCTAGGAGAAAAGAAGGCTCAGGGAGATCTTATCAGCATCCCTCCTTGACAGGAGAGAATGAAGATGAGGAAGTCAAACTGTTATCAGTAGTGCCCACTGACAGGACAAGAGGTAATGGGCACAAACTGAAACACATGAAATCCCATCTGATCATAAGAAAACATTTTTTTTACTGTGAGGGTGGTCAAAACTTGAACAGAGAGGTGGTACAGTCCCCATCTGTGGAGATATTCAAAACCCAACTGGACACAGTCCTGGACAACCTGCTCCAGCTGACCCTGCTTGAGCAGAGGTGTTGGACTAGATGATCTCAGGAGGTCTCTTCCAACCTAAGCAATTTTGTGAAGTTTTCAAGATTTTAAGTCATAAAATGGCATTTCCATCAGATGTCTAGAGACTCAGTGTTCAGTGAAGATGAATGCTGTGGCTTCCCTCTAAATATCATTCAGATGGCTCCACAATGTCTATTAAGAAAAGTAGGGATTTTTTTTTTTCTCTATTTTCCCAGTCCAGATGCGTTCCAGTAATTCTTCCATCTACAAAATACAAGTAAGTCTTAGGATAACTGGAGGGTAACTGGAGACTTGCCTAGAAACAGACTCCAGTGTAGCTCTATAGGGATGTAAGGTTGTACTCATGTGGATTACTAGCAGAATTAGAATTATTCACTCATTTCAAATCATAGAATCATAGAATCGTTAAGGTTGGAAAAGACCCTTAAGATCATCGAGTCCAACCGTTAACCTATAAATGTTACTGAGAACTTGGCTGTATTGACCAATGTTGATTTTCTCTCTGGAATTTACTTGAGAACTGACACCAAACACTGGTATTTTTCAAAAACGTTGGAGCTGCATTAATGAGTAAAATTAATGAAATGCTTGGAGTTCACAAGTTCTTATGTGTCCTGACTGTTCCTTTAAAAAGATGTATTTTATTTGTATTAAATGTAAAGAATTACTGTTTCACATTAGGATGATCCAGTAGTTCTTCAGGGATTTCAACAAACTACTCCTCTGCTTTGATAATGCTTAGAAAGCAGTCTTTATTTTCTATGTGTTAGACAAGCTCATATATGTGAAAATGGACTTAGTTTTAAAAAAAAAGGTACCGTGTTAGAGGACACTCTTGAGAACCGCTCGGTACAGGTCAGGTGACAGGAAAGTCAGAAGTCTAAGAAACACAGAAAAATGAGAGCAGCTGTATTTTCATCATTGAGTTGAGGGCTATAATCACCATCTCTGTAATCTCTGTACATTTGCTGTCGCTAATACACGATATGTATTTACTCTTGCCTAGCTCAGTTTATTTTGTTAATTGTTTCTCTCATAATATGAAAATGACCACCTTATTTGATTCAAACACTATCCCTCTGTTACCTTTTAACTGCTGTAAGTAGATAAATGCTCGCATCACTTATATGGCCCTATATTTTTAAAGAAACCTGTTGTATGCAATGCTAGGAGTTAACTACATTTGAAATTATAATTAATTCTTAAGCATTTATTAACATAATTTGCTGCCTCATGATACAAAGTAGGAGTAAGTATTTAAGGATCTTTGTTATACTGCTTTCCTCTGATAATGAAATGAGAGCTGCTTCTGCACTGCTTCTCGTTTGTTCTTTATGTTGTGGTCTTGAGAGGTGCTGAATGCCTCAACTTTTCGTCGTGTTCAGAGAGAGTTCAGGGCACTCAGCATCTCATACATACAGCTTGGTACCAGCAGGACCAAGCTCCTACGTCGTGGAGAGGTGAGGGGAGAATTTGTCATGTACGCTGTCACTTACCTGGCATGCGACGGGTAGCCCTTAGAAGAAGGACTTCAGTTTGGCTTGTGGCAATCTGTACCAGTTGTGTATGTTTGCAAGTATCACAACTGCTGTGCAATTTTTACTGTATGGGCTATAGGGGATAATAAATGATGTAACTCTGTGTTTTTAATGTGCTTGAATAGAACACTGTGTATCCATTATTGCATAAACATGAGCCTAGCTGATAAATCTATTTAGAAAATGTTTGGGGTCTTTTTTCCCCAATAGGGACGCTTGATAAACTATGCTTTGAAATCTCAGGTAGAATCCAGTTTATTTTTAAAACAAATCTTACCAGACGCAGTCATTTTGAAACAGAGCATCAGCAGTTGCTTGTTTTAAATGCATGTATGTAAGTTTAATAATGCTGTATCATGCGTAGTCTACATTCAAGCAGGGCCACTCTCATGCTTATTCGGAAAAATGTCAACTTCTGCTAAACCGACAGAATGTGACTACTAATTAAAATATTCCCATGAGATGTATATAGTATATGTTGTCTACTTTCTCTGTTAGAGTTTAGCATTCTCTAAACTTTGACTCGGCAGTGTGTGCTTTATGGTATAATTATGCAAACAATGGCTAACAATAGAAGGCCAAAACCATCAAAACACAACTTTTTGTTAAACTGTACCACATGCTGCTTCAGAAGATTTTTAGCTTTATAAACTCCTGTTCAAGTTGCGGAGATATAATCTCCTACAAGATGCACATTTTATCAGGAAAAATTATGCACATTCTGTTGAATTACTCTATGTCAGGTTTATCGTGCCTTCACCACTGCGCTGTAACTTTAATTGTAACAGTTTTTAATGCACCTGACTCAGCCTGGCAATTGAATTGATGTCAATGGAGATCTACTGGAGGGTAAATATTCCAGAAGTAGGAATGGATGGCGGGAGCAGGCCTAAGTTATTAAAGCCTTCTGCTGTTGCAGCACGTACCCAAGGATGAAAGGGAGACTGCACTGGAGGGCCAGTGCAAAACGAGTACTTATTTCAAGTGCAGAATGGAAAAGGAAAGAGCTAGCACAGTCACAGGTAATGTGATGGTATTGCAGCTAATATAGGAAATGCCTCCTTATATTTTTGTTATTATTGTCAAAAGGGGTGTAGAAGAACTTTTCAGAAATAGTGCAATTGAAAAATACTATTAAGGCAGCTTTAGTTTTATGTACAATTTCCTGGTGATGTGGTGCATTTCTGTGAATAGGAGAGCAGAAAGCAGACGCGCTGAACGACGGGGACAGCTTTCACTCCTGCTTAGTCGTTCTCTGGCTACTTGGTCCCGGTTCGAGGGAAGCACGTTAACACCTGCAACTGTTTACAGGATTTGGGCCTAACTTAGTCCAGTGGTTTAGTGTTTCCTCTTGAGGGGTGGAAAAATAGGTTTAAGTTTCACCCTTCTACGGGCAGAAGCTGAAGTTGTTTTTAAGAAACGGTGTAAGGGCCGAAGCGGGGCGGGTGACTGCCGCCGGAGCGGGCTGGGGCGC